GGGTCTCCTTTCCCATAAGTTTGATTCTAATTACTACTATAATGCTTTTAAATTGGGGTGTAACGTCATCATAGCAGCTTTGACTGGCAGCTGCAGTCACGGAGAAACTTGCGTATCTCTGTTCGGGAATAGCAGATAAGAGCGTACAATTTATGTTTAATTTTCCCACTGATGACTTCTGTGTGTATCATATATATATATATATATATATATATTTAATAAAATTTACGTTTAATTTTCACTAATTAATTAATTTTTTTTTTTTTTTTTTTTTTTTACAAGTTTGATTCAGGTTAAAAAACGAATCTGAATTCATTTTAATGGTCACAAAGTTACATGTGCAGCACTCTGGACAGCTTACATCCTTTAAGAGAAATAATTTGTAGCATTATTATTTGTTTTTCAGTACTCAGGCAGCAGCTTTAACATTGCTGTAGGTCAGTGACCACAATGCAGGAGCAGACTGAACCAGGACTACAAACTAAAAACTGCATTTCGTTGCCCTGTACCTGTGACATGTGCAATGACAATAAAGTTGAATTCTATTCTATTCTAAACCTGCTCCATCTTCTCATCTCTGGAGATTTCCATTTACAAAGCACCAACAACTCAAAGGTAAATATTATATTGGAAAATCTGTTTATATATGTTGTTTATATAGTATGTATGGTATATAAGGCTTTGTCCTTTTTTAATATGCAGCTCGTATGTCAGCAGAACTGCAGAACTGAAAGAATGCAAAAAAACAGTACAAAGGTTAAAGTACCACATGTGCTGTCAGTGAAAGCTGCAGCTGTTTTATTGATAAAGTTAAAGACAAAAAGTCAAAAGGATTAATCACCCATGTAACCGTGTGTGTCACTACATATCAGCAGTTTGGTGTTTCAGAAAGCTGCTGATCTGAGACCTGCAGAGGTTCTATTTTAAACACTGAATGCACTCAAACACATGAGATTTTCTCTGACACAATTAAATAAAACCTGATGAAGGTTAACTAAAAACTGGTGATCTGGAATTCTTTCACCGTTTTTTTTTTTTTTTTTTGCCAATAGTGTGTTATATACCACAAAATAATTCAGACCAGAGAGGATAATATATATTTTTATTTTATATATATATATATATATTTCTACAGGACTGAATATAATCTCTTTATGTAAGAGTTCAGTCCAAGTATTTATAACATTAAACAAACCAAAGGTCTCTTCTGGAGTGGGCCTACAGTGGAGTTCTGAAGATTTCTCTGTAAGGGAGCTGGTGGTGAAGATCATGAGGTCCTCCTTGATCCCTGTGATGAACTTCAGTTCTTCTGATGTTTCTGAAATGATGCCTCTCTCAGTGGGTCAACAGAACATCTGTATTTCTCCAAACCTCTAGACCCAGGAAACCCAGCTTGGTCCTGATGGTCTCTCTCACCAGTTTCTCCCATGGTGGGTGTATCTGGTAATAATTATGTGGACTCTATTATTAAATGAAAAGAACAAATTACAATACACTACTGAAACCTTCTGCTGCTGTTTTTGAAGTTTTCATGTTACCAGGCTGTGGAGTGCTCTGAAGATTTAAACAGTTTTAGATCCATTACACTCACAGTCTTCTGTTAAAATCTCAAAGGACAGCATTACATGTTTGATATTAACAGTAACTCTGGGTCTCTCTGGAGTATGCAGCTGATGTCATCGGTTTAAAAATGGATAACAAAAACTAAGGAATCATTCAAAAATACAGACTTTGCGGTCACGTCCAGCGGGCGTGTGGGTGGGAGCGTGACGCAGTCGCTCCACCTCAAGTCACTCCTCCGCAGACTCTGGCTCCAAAAGCGCAATATGGCAGCTTCCACAAGGGGAATATTTTGGCTTCATTTTTGCACCATGGGAGAAAGTGCTGTCGCGTCGTCCATCGTTTATACAGTCAGAGCTCCGCACCATGCAGCCCAGAGCGGCAGAGCGACTTAACTGATTTAACGCGACTCTGTCCGCGTACCTTTAATAACCGCACAGAGCTGATCACCTGCACTGCCAGGTTTCTTATCTGCGCAGGTACAGTGCAGCAGAGACGATGTTATACTCTAAAAATTGATATTTTTTTTCTGCCTATACATCAGTTTGAGATATATAAATATTTATTAAAACACGTAATTACTCATTCAGTAATTATGGTACCAATACACACAGGATCCCCTTTCAGTGAAGTTGGGAATATAAAAACAGTCCTGAAGGCGGCGCTGTAAATACATCTACTGGTTAAAGAGCGGTTGAAGCGTTTTATCCCCATGCGAGGATGAATGTCAGTAACATTGATAATAGCGTTTACACTGAGGTTTGTTTCAATGGAAGGATGATACTTAAAGCACCAACAATGCCTATTAATTCCCCACAGAGCAGGAAATTTATAGGTGAAATAACAGCTAACTTAATATTTTTGGAAACGTGTTAAGATACATAAAAATCTCTCTCTGTAATTTATATATATAGGAGTGGGTTTTTATTTTTATTAAAACAAAAGATTGTGACAAAAAAAAAAAATTAGAAACATAAGTAGAAATAGATGCATGTTTGCAGTATGGAGCTGTATTTCACACACTGTCCTACAGCTGCATTACTTGGCACAACCCAGAAGTTATTTTGAGTTGATTACCTTCTTACTTCCACAGCAGATTAGCATACTGAAAATACACTGCATTCTTTATGTAACCATGTGGCACATAATGTCTTGACCTTTTGTAATATCCTCTAAATGAACAAGGCTGCTGAGGGGAACGTTTTGTCCTGGTAGTGGCCGTAGATAAATGGTCAAGGTGGTCAATAACATTAGAAGGAACCTTTGTCTAAAGGGCACTAATATAAATATCAAACATTACGACAATCTGATCACCAATTCACAGTGAGCACAAGCACACACTTATTTACATCACTACTACTTTTTATTTGGCAAACAGCTTGAGATAATCTCTCTTTTTCAGTGTAGAGTGTGTGCGTGTATTATATATATATATA